TTTACTTTACCGTTGGTATTTGCGAGTAATTAGACACTGATTCGAGGCTTAGCCTGAGCAAATGAGTCTGTAATCAAGAAACACAGCGGTAATTTGGAACGTGAAAAGGGTCCATTACGACGGTCCCATGAATAAAATGACATTAAATTATTGAACATTAACTTAATTACAGGAGAAAAAATTTTTTGCTAATGAGAGTCCTTTGCTTCATTTGATGCAGACAGTCTACTGCAGTCATCAATGTTGTAGGTTTCTCTTAGAGCTGTTTGGTAGTAGTTAAAATACAAAAAAAAAAAATTCACATTTCTGTCTCAAAGAGTATAGCACACTATTTGTCCCTCTCAAGTATCATTTCAAACTGGGGGAATATTTACCGAGACGCGAGTCTTCGAGCTTCACTGAGGCTGAGGCAAATAATTGTTTTAGTATAAATACACAGGTGATTCTTTCAAAAAAAGAAAAGAAAAAAAAGAAGATAAAAGACATTTTTTAAATAATATAAAATATAATAATATAAATTATCATGATCATAGATTTTATTTCCACCTTTAGCATCCAGACAGTAGCTGATACAACGTACCATCAATGATGTACTCCGTCCTTGGCTTGCTGATGTCTCTTCCATTCATCCTGCATGACATCTCGTGCCTTGATTGTCCTTCAACGTACACGCAAACGAACTTCATACTCAAGCACCATGTTCTGTCGTCAACAACGGTGAAGAACTACCAAGAATGCTACGATAAATGTGCATCTACCACGGATTGCCATAGCATGAATTTCTATGACAGGAGCCAAAGATGTGAGTTGAACAAAGGCAGTCACTTGTCCAATCCTGTTGACTTGGTTTACAATGAACAAGGCACTTATTCGGTGCATGATAGTCGGTCTGTGGCGACGTGCAGTGACAAATATTGTAGTACTGATACCATTTGTGTGATGAAAAGTAACAACTTCGAATGCAAAGGTGAATGAATTGAATGCAATCCACCAACCCACCAACCCACATAACCATAGCGTTCCAATTCTCATACAATTGAAATTCTTTTGTTTTGTCCTCCTGAGCTGCGTTGACGTCAAATACAAGGGCCTATAAGTTTTTTAATGGACCTTCCTCAAAATTATCTTGGATGTTGGACTAAAATTAAAATAAAAAAGAAATCACACCTTTTCTCTATGAAATTTGTGGGATTTCTTTTGTATTCCATGTAAGCTTCACTTGCTATTTTGCACTGTCTCAGAACATTGGGAACAAATTAAAGCAAATACCTCTACGCGTTTTTGTTTGATTCATGCCTGAGTGAATTCTAGCTATTTTGTTGATAACTAATTTTATTACGGTTTGTATTTTTTTCCTCCTCGAATCTAACTTAGATTGTGCTTTTGCATTTGGAATGGGAGTTGATTCAAGGAAGATCCCAAACTCGGCGATAACTGAGTCTTCTACGGTGAGGTCTGGACACGAGCCTTGGAGAGGACGACTTAATAACTTCCCCAACACCACACCTTACAATGTTGGCGTTGATGCGGGGTGTTGGTCAGCAGGGTCTAACACTGCAGGAGAGTACTTACAGGTGGACTTGGGTCACGTGGTATACGTTACTATGGTAGCAACACAAGGGAGGCCATATGGTTATAAACAGTATGTGAGAAAATACAGCCTGGCTTATAAAAACAGCGACAACTCGTTTGTGGATTACAAAATAGCAAACAATGTAAAGGTGAGTTAGAATATGAGATTTTCCCTAAGACTATATACTCACTGGAGAACTTTAGTATATGTACTAAAAGACTGGGCCCATTGGTTAGAATCATTGGTGGCCTTGTTTCTTTTGTTCGGAACCTTGAAAAAGCAAAAATTATATATATTTAAGTGAATTTAAGATAGGACATTGCTAACTCACAGGTCAAACCCTGAAACAACATTTGGGTACATATACGACAAGGTATAGCTAACTCACAGATCAAACCCTGAAACAACCTCTGGGCTGAACAAAGTCAGGGCACGGCTAACTCACAGATTGAACCCTGAAACAACCTCTGGGCTGATCTAAGTCAGGGCACGGCTAACACACAGATCGAACCCTGAAAAAACCTCTGGGCAGAACACTGAACTCACTGATCAAACTTTCTAAGAACCTTTGGGTGCATCTAAAACCGGGTATAGCTCACTTTCAGCGTGATGAATTTTGCGGGGGGAGGGCAACCGGTAACCCCCTTGAAAAGGGAGAAACCCAACAATCTCTACTCAGATTTAAAGACGAACAATGGAATCGAAGCTTAGACCCAAAGGTGTGTAAGGTGTAGTGAAGTAAGATACATTAATAATAATAAATAGTATAAATAATATAAAGAAATGATATATATTAATAGAAAAATTCCTTTTGGATAGATCTTTCAGGCGAACACTGACATGACAACGATCGTAACCCACAGGCTTCCCGAGAAGATAAAAACCCAGTACATCAGATTTGTTGCCAGAGAATGGTATGGCCATATTTCAATGAGAGCCGAAGTCTATGGATGCCAAATTCCTGTCTAATTATGGAAACCCAAGTGTAATGGGCTGTAGTTGAAATTTGTCTCGCTGCCTCCCCCCTCCCCAAATGTCGTAAATTTCGTAAATTAGCTGAAGTTGTAACCTCGTCGAAATAAACAAGATTTTAAAGGCTTCATCTATCTATCTAAAACTTATCTATCTGTTGTGCAGCATTCTTTTAGATAGTTTGACTTTGGATGTTGTAAAGAAGAATAAACAGTACAAAGCAAAGCAAAATAAAATTTAAGGAATATTATGTATATAACGCGCGCGGATGTCCCTGTACTGTGACATGCTGGGAGCTATAGAGCAAGAGCCCTTAATTGTTACTGCGCATACTCGACGAAATATTTATTTCGAGGCGTAGCCTAGTGTTTCTTTTCTCCCAGGGTGTTTAAACCAGGTAGTACCATTCTAGTACCCAAGCCTTACTCATTAGCCAAATCGTAGGTTCTGGGAAACTCTAACGGACCGGAAACCAGACTCTTGCGACCAGGTCACCTGAGCGCATGCTCCGTTAGTCAGTCTGCTATCCTTACATGCCGCCATAATCCAGTATAATATATTATATTAAGAGCGACTGCCCAGAAATATCGAGCAAAATCGAAAATTTGTGGCCACAATCAAAAAAATAAAAGTCCTTCATTTTTGGTCTGTAGACACTATTAGATGAGTTGATGAACGTACTTGGGTCGGTTTTTCGATCTACGTAAAAAATCCGGATTTTTTTGAAAAAAACGATTTCACCCCGTGTCGGTCTAAAAATTGCTCAAGAAACGGCTGCGAATTAC